ATTGGGAAATAACAACTTCCTATTGCAATAGACTTAAGCATAATAACAAGATTTGTATGGGAAATAGCAATAATTTATTACCAAATAACAACTTTCTACTGTAACAAACTAAGCATAATAACAAGATTTGTATGGAAAATAGTAACAATTCATTATCCAATAACAACTTTCTACTATAACAGCATAAGCATAATAACAAGATTTGTATAATAATTAGCAACAAATTATTACCAAATTATAACTTCAGACTGCAACTTCATTACCTTAATACCAAGATTTATATCCAAATTTACAACAATTCATTACCAAATAACAACTTTCTACTGCTACACGATACACATAATAACAACATTTCTTTGGGTATTAATAATAATCCATTAGCGAATAATAACTATCAACTGCAAAAATTTAACCATTTATATTTCTCCGTCATTCCTACTCCACCTTCCTTTTGGTTCTCTTTTACTTCTATATACAAATAAGCATTGCTATAATTACATCTAAACATATTGCAAATATCACCTTCATAATAAAAATCAATCAATGTGCTATCAGCAAACTTAACCGTGTACTTAATCTCGCACCCTTTAGCATCATTGTCTATCCACTGTGATATTGTCCCTCTTAATTTATTGGCTATTATCCCTTCTTTTATGATGCTTGCTCTCATACTCCCTCCAACATATTTAATTTCACCTTCACTATTTCTTTCAAAATACCCACCAATATGAAAAAAAAATAAAACAAATCCTTCCAAGAGCTTGACCCATTGTTACGGTTCATTTTTCACGCTAACCTAGAACAACAGTTTACATATAATAAATATATCAACTTCAGTGTACTCTTATTCAATCAAACGAATCGTTTGCATTTAGAAATCAAAACCAACTACCTCTTCTCTTCCCCCCTTGACATTAGGGTTTTACAAGTTCAACATTCTAAATGACAAGATCTTCGTTCCCTCCCCCTACTGCACCACATTATACTTCACACTCAAACTAACAATCATTACCTCCTTCAATATCCCCTCCCGTACTCTCCCATTCATGACATTGCTAACCCAAATCAATGGCAACATGCACCATGAAAATCACAAGTCAACAATCTGACTACAAAGACAAAAATTTTGAAGCTCAACCCAACCAAAATCTCCTCAAACAACATTATTCCATCATCAACTCCTCACTCCCTCCATACCTATCACCGAACGGCCCACAATGCCATTCACCACATTCAAGAACAAGAGGACATTCCTCGATCTTAAAGGATAGAGAAGAAGAAGAGTTTCCTTAGAAACATTACTTACTTGATTCTTAAGCCTGTGCAGCACCCAATCTTCTCCTCCAAGCTCTACTGATCAAATTCTTTGTCTTAGCCTTCATTAATGAAACTAATTTACTGAGGGGCAATTTTATCTTTTCACCAACATTTGCTAATTGCAATTTGAGATGGGGTCCCTCCTAGCAATTTGGTTTATCCAGGTGACCTCCTTGCAATTTTGATAATTCAGAGGTCTTTATTTGCTATTTTCCCTTAAAATTATATTGCAAATTCTAATATATAAATATAAATTTCATAATATAAATTACATATTTTAAATATATTAAATAAACAATTTTCTATTCATTATTTCATACATTCCATTTTATTCAAACAAAATTAAATTAAATATTATAAAAAAATATGAGCTAAAATAATTGCCTCTACTTCGTTATTAGAAATGATCTTAAAAATTATAATTATTTGAAAGGATCAAATATATTTAAAAATACTAAATTACTCCTTAACTACATCCCTAAATTTCCTCTAACTTATGCTTCATTACTGGATATTTTGAATGATTAAATTAGATAAATATTTGATTAAATAAATCTATTTGAAAATGTGAGTTTTTCATTTAAAAAATTGCCTCTGCTTCGTTTTTCTCCTACTCCCAACTTCATATTTCAACCAACATCATATTTCAAATGTTCAATTTTAATTTATATATATTATTAAAGAATAATTATATTCCTTTCAACCTCTAATTTTTATACTGTGAACAAAGGTTTCTGATGAGATATATACTTTGGCCAGCACATAAAGATAAATTTAGATTGAATAATGATAGGCTTATAATGAATGCAATTTTATAATCTTATATTAGGCATAACTCTTGAAAGAAGTTTTTATCTGGGTAACGTTTAAGTGACCCAAAAAATATCCTTATGATTGAAAACAAAAATAAATGTTAATAACTAGTTCAACCTAGTTATTGAAAAATTATAATTACTTAATATGACAAAAGGCAAAATTTAATTTAAGCTTTTGAACAAGCAAAAGCTACACCCTATAATTGAAAGCCTGAAGCCTCTCTTTAATGATAGATCATCCTTCATATTGTTTTTGTGTTTCTGTCATTTAAAAAAAAAAACAAATAAACAAACAAACGCATGAAGCTTTCAACTTCATTTAGGTTTCAAAACCTGAAAATTATTAGGAGGTTATCATGATACGGAGGTGTGGTAAGAGAAAATATAGAAGATATCATTAGCGACAATTGAGTGTTTTAAATTTATATTTTATTATTTGGTCTCCCTAAATAATTATAATTTTTAAGATCCTCTTTAATAAATATTGCTTTTTCTATGTCCTATCTAATTTTCCAAAAAAATTAAAAAGAAACTCCTTTCCTTCATCATTATTAATCCTGTCATTAGTACTCTTTTTATTAGGAAAATTTTGGCACCACTTAGTGCTAGTTTTCATGGGCCAGATAGAAGACTAGACTAAGCTCACAACCAAACACTATCTAACTAGATACATATTTAATCTGATTATATATTTACTCAAACACTATTTGCTAAAAAAAGATATATATATTTAATCATATTATAAAAAATTTAACTACAATTTATTTTATATGAAAATTAATTATATATCTATTTTTTAATTAAAAGAAACTCAACATATAAAAATGACTAGATATAAAATTCTTATCCATCATTTAGCAAAATACATACAAAAATTTAAGGGAAAAAAATTTAATCAAGAGAATGTACCTTAGTCAGAAGAAAAATCAAGCTTCAAGTTGAAATAAAACGTATACAATATTTGCAAGACCGCACATACCACCAACTTCACTAAACAAAAGTGTGGAAGGCGAAAGAAGAATGGAAGAAGCTGAAGAACTTGAAAAGTAACAAGAAGAAAGGAAGATTTGAGTGGAAAATTGCATGCATTATATACACAATAATAAAATGTACACTATGCACTCACATGCCAAAAAAATACTCGCTAGGCATGAGCTAAGGACAGTTTGAATGACTACTCCCTACACCCCTATACTGATGGGAATATCTAATGAAGACAATTAACTATGTCTATGAGCAGTAGCTCTGCGTGTGGTTGAAAGACAAAAAGCATGTGGAGTCTAGTCAAAAAAGGAAAAAGCACATGGAGTTTATGGGGAAAGGTGTAGGTAGAAGACAAATGGATTCACTTTTTTGAGGTGAGTCCCACTAAACTCGTTCTTGGTTTGAACGAGTTCTGTTGTTTTGTGACGTGGGTTCCACTGAACTCATTTTCGATCAAAACGAGTTCTATACAAATTTAAACTCGATCATGGTCTGAACGATTTTCAAGTATAGCATTTCGGTAAATATTTTTTATCTTATCATATTTGAGTAAATTTGTTTACTGTTTATCACATTTGGATGAAAAACTGTACCAAATTGTTTGGTCTTGATTATATAACAACCTCAATATTTTTCCATAGTAATCTATATTAATATATACATATTTTTGCATTATAAATATGAGTAATACACATTGACTACCTATTTGTTTTATTTAAATTACAAAAATGTTCTCTCTATTTTGAAAATGTATTTCTTAAAATTAAGATGTATATTTCACAAACTACCTTTGTATGTTTAGGATTTTATTTCTATCTATCCAAAGTTAACCATTAAGTTTGAATTTCAAACTTTTATTTTGACCAAAATATCCTTCCTTAACATAAACATTTTTTGAAGATTTATATCTATAAAAAAATTAATTTTTGATACAACAAAAAATAATTATAATACATATATTTTTCAAACTTTTTAATGTTATAAAAATTATTTATTTTGATTATATTATAGAATTATATAATTTTAATTCTTCATAACATATTAAAACTTATTTATTTAGGTTTCTTTTAAATGACTAAATATTTTAAATTCATATTCTTTTACCATATAATACAAATCATACAAGTTTGGGTCATTATAGAAATCATTTAAATTTATCATTTAAAATTTTTCAATAAAAATTTTGTTGCAAACGTTTGTAACATATTTGATTGATTATAATTTGTTTTCTGGTCCAAAAAAAAGTATACATTTGTTTAAAAAATTAATTAAATTTTCATTTAATTTTTTATGTTTATATTAACTAAATTACTTAATGTTCTGTCCTAATATGATAAGATCATTAAACAAATAACTATTTGTAAAAATAAAAAATAAAATTCACATAAGGGGCCAAAAAACTTAAATTCTTCGAAATAGTTTTAACCAAAATTTAGGATTCAGTATTATAAAAAGTAAATTAGTAAATAAAAAATACTTGAACCCAAATTTTAATTAAACTTAACAGATGGACTTAAATATATGTTTTTAAAATAGAGAGAGAATCTGTGTAATTAGGACAAAATAGAAAGGAGGTTAAAGTATTTGACTCTATAAATATGTATTTCATTATTACAAATACAACCAAAATTTTGATCAATACCACTAAGAAACCACAAAAATAAACCTTAACTAATTCAACAATCAATTATTAATAACTATACTATATTGAAAACAAAAAGTATCACCATTAAATCCCACTTGAATTCTCTTCCTAAGTAAAGAGAGAGAGAAAACCTCATGAACATACAATCCCAGAACCTCGCCATAGCTGATTTTAGGCGCCTCATGAGAGCTTCGTCCCAACCAAAGGGACGCCCCTGAGCCATTTCAAATCCAAATCCATGGTTTCAAAAACCACTAAACGAATAAAATTGATAATGATGACAGCACCAAAGTCCCAACCATGACCTGATGTGCAAGGTTTCAAATAAGTTCCCACTTATTGTAGCAAAAAAAGGGTTAACCTTAAGATCGAGGAGGTGAAAGCTACTTCATGTACTAAAGTATCGATGATATAACCCCAGGAAAAAAAAAAAGGGGTCAAAATCATCCTCAAATAATTCCAGCAAAATCTCACAACCACAAAACAAATAAATCTAAAATAAATGAACCAGCTACTATACGGAAAAAAAGCTTCATGCGCTTTAGTCTGTAACCATAAATGGATCCACATCACCGAGGTCAGCAACCAGTGGCTCCAAGCTTGCTGAATCTTCATCTTCAGAAGCAAAGTAAGTTGGGAAGGGAAGAATTGATTCACTGGGTTTTTTATAGACGGCATCTTTGATGAAAACAAAGTTCCCTTCAGCTCCTGGTACCTGTTAAGAACACATAAAAATCAAACTCTGAGACCAGACAAGAAGCGTAGCTACAAAGTTTCCACTGATCTCACCCCAGAAAGAATAATCAGTTCTTTTTGGCACTCGGAAGATTTTACCAAAAAAGAGAACTTAGTGGACCAACATTAGTTGCATTGACTTTGCTACCAGTGGCGGTTATACTACGCAGAAGCTCTTAAAACACTAATCAAATGAGCAGTTAATTGAAATATTTAACCAAATGTCACACATGATCTTGAACTTGTTTTAAAATTCATGGATCATAACACCGCAATAACAACAAACAAGTGTTATCCCACTATTTCAGATCAACTCCATGGATAGCATTGTGTTCTATTGTACTACTATTAACAACCAACTCTTTGGATGAAATAAGGATCATAACATCGTCCACATTATTTCTAATTTCTCCATAAACTTCCCAATTGCATTACTCTACATGACAATTAGGTGGGGCTTTTTTTCCTTAATAAAATAAGGGTCAATGACAACTGTTCTAAAATAATAGTCCTTTCCCTTCAATTACAGTTACAATCCCACTATTTACATCTTACGGAAAAATGCATAGAAAATTAAAAAATAAGAAAAAATAAACAAAAATACCTGGCCTTGAACCCATATCATACTCCTCGCAGGTTCTATTTTGTAGACCCATACATTTTTCACTGTTCTCTGCTTCCCACCCATTCGTCCAGCCATCTTTCTACCTTTAAATACCTAAGAAGTAAACAGGAAAAAAAAAAATTACTGTATCAAAAAGAGAAATCTAGACAACAAAATGATTTGAAGAACCAAAATGAGCGATGCCTTGCGCTAGTTCCTACATACAAAATACAGCAAATGGTGTATTAAGAAGGACATAACATTCAGGAGTCGCACACACCTTTCCAGGAGCATCCCTTTGACCTGTGGAACCACCACTTCGATGAGATAATGATGCACCATGGGATGCTGGCATGCCCGCAAAACCATGCCTTTTCATGACACCCTGAAAAAGTGAATATAACGAAGATTTGTTATTCAAACAACTGAAAATTTTATACCATAAATTAGGTAACATCATTTTGTGAAGTCAAGACTGCTTCACACGCATGCAAGTACTGAACATGAAACAAAAGAAAAAAAAATTATCACAAGCATATGCACATGCAGCCCACAAATAAGTAAGTGCTTTTAGACTAAATTATAAAAACAAGACATACAATTTTGAGAAATGAGAAGATGAAAATATGGCCTTCAAGAAAGCATGCAATGAAACAAACTATATAAATGCACTGCTTGTAAAAGGCCAAATAGAATAATCTGTCGGCAAACCATGAACAATCTTCACAAAACTCCAGAAATCATAGAGATTAAAACAGTTGAACAAATAAATAATGTTATCTAAAAATGTACATCCATCTTTATCTGTTAAGTACTTGAGCTTATAAACACATGATTCTAACATCAACACCTTAAGCACATATTAAATTACAGTATTTGTTAGACATAACACCCCTAAACTACCACATTTGTTAACCCACTAAAGCAACAACTATGGCAGAGAACAATACAGTCATGGCATAGTTTGGCATTCAAAGCCTTATTTTATTTCTTTCAGTAAAATAAGATCATCCAATTTCATCCCACTGACACAATTGTTAGTAATATATATGCTTACAACCACTGAAAACCATGCATCTCTCTACCACCAGGAGGAAAATACAGTTATCACGCTCAAAGACATGCATAAGTGCATGCACCACACACAAACCAGTTTTAAAAAGGAAAAATATATTATAAGCGGAGTCTCACACAATGAAAATTGAAAACCCACCTGAAAACCTTTTCCTCTGGTGATTCCTGTCACATCAACATATTGACCAGGAACAAAATGGCGGACACCAATGGGCGTACCCACAGGAAGAAGTGCATCCTCTGTCACTGGAAACTCCCTAAGTTTCCTTTTCATTGGAACTCCTTGAGCTCTAAAATGACCAACTTCGGGCTTAGTCAGATGTTTTTCTTTCTTCTGTCCGCAACCAATCTAACTAGAAACACAGCATTAAGTAGGTCTATAATTAGATATACACAAAACCAAGCATGCTTAATAAGTGTTGTTTCTGAAACCAAGGAAATTTGTACTGAAGCAGAGAAATGAAACTAAAAACCAAAGTATGAAAGTGGCATTTGATTAAGCCAGCGCATAATTATCCATTTTTTTGTACATAAGCTTGGAGTTAAATTAAAGAGTCTGACAGTAGTTTGAACATAGTTACATTAATATTTAAGTAAACTAACAGCAGTTGGCATTGTATCAAAAGACAACACTCTAGATTGATCAATATTTGAGTTTTTAAACTAACGGAAGGCACAAAATAACCCACTAGTGAAAGTGAAGCAGCACCAATAACCTTATACGCAGGAAAGACATACAGAGAAAGAGGTTTCAAAAAGGAAGGATCTGTAAACCCCCCCCCCCCCAAAAAAAAAAAAAGTTCTTTAACAACTAAAATAGCTCGATTGCATATTTTGTCATAGGAATGTGGAGAGAAAAAAAAGAGTTCTTGCTTTTGCATTAATTGCAACATAGCATTTGGCCTGATGTTAGAAGGGGCTTCCCCTATCACTCCTAGATGAAAATAAAGCAGTCCCAACAAAAGCGATATATAGATTACAAGTTGTAACTGATAACAAGAACGCACCTGGAGGGAAAAAATATCTTCCTTCTCCGGGGTCTTGACCTGAGTCACAACATTGTCATCGACCCAGAGGATGGTGATGGGAACTCTCGCGCCCCATTTATTCCAAAGTGCAGTCATTCCACACTTGACAGCGATAACCCCAGTTCGTTTAGAACCTGGAGTCATCACCCTTGGCTTCGCTTCAACAATCCGAGCCTCCCTCGCACCCGAATCATCCAATAACTCCGAGCATAAGCCCCTCAAAAACTGGTGGGGCAGTGATGTCGGCGTTCCTGTCCCCGTCGATGTCGCAGTCGAGTTGCTGGTGAAAACACGCAGACGAGAAATGAGGCCTCTCGATAAGGCCATCATGGTCGAAATGCAGATTATGATGGAGCAAATAAGCAGATAAGATTTGCTTCCAGTCTTCCTAAACGCTTATAAACAGAGGCTGCGACGGCATAGCTTCATGACTGCTTCCATGACTGCAGCGTTTGGTTCGGGAAACGAGTCTGGACGAAGACAGCAACGGGTCTGAGTGTGAATTTCAGAGAGTAGGGTTTTAGGATGGGACAATGTGCTTGTTTGGCATCACTTATTTTGAGCTTATAAGTAGCTTATAAGCTATATAAACTCGATTGACATATAGGTCCGTTTGGATCAGCGATTGGAAAAGCAGTTTATAAAAAAAGTAGCTTATGGAAAAGTGAAGTTGGTAAAAATTAAATTGGATAAGCTGAATTGTGTTTGGATTGGAGTTCAGACAAGTTAGTTTACAAAAATGAGATTGGAAAAAGCTTGTTTGAATTATAGTTGAGTAAAAGTAATTTTGACTGAAAAATTACCAAAATGGACATGAGTTTTAATAAATAATGAAACATGATGAAAAATTGATTTAAGACAATACAATAAAATTAAAATAAAATAATATGAAGAAATAAAATTTAATGAGTGGATTAAATTATAAAATTTTTAAAAAATCAAAAAATATTTGAAATATAAAGTGAAACATGAAAAAAAAAAAGAATTGAGATAATCTAATGAAGAGGTGAAATTTAGAGTGAATTAAAATTGAAATCATAAAAAATATTAGGCAAATAAAAGAAAAACATAATTTGAACAGATAAAACTGTTTTGAACTCCAATTAGTAGTATTGCGACAAAGTGAAATGAAATAATAATATTACATAATTAATTAATTGATAAGCTATGGATAATTTGGTCTCTGATTGCATCACGGACGCGATTCATATGAGATGAAGACTGTGAATTGACATTTGAAGGTGATGGTTGACTAGCTGCAGTCTGATCATGTTCGCCAATTACATTATCATCTTCAACTTGTTGAAAATAGAAGTCAGAGCTTGAATGTCTCCTTATAAGGTTATGAATGGCCATTGTTGCACAAACCAAGTACACTTGTGTTTGGAAGTCGTAACTGCGCATATTTCGTAGGATTTGAAATCTATTCTTCCAGATGCCGAATGTTCTTTCCATTGTGCACCTTAAACTGGAATGATAATAATTGAAGGCTTCGTTACTATTTCGGAATCCTACTTGTCGTCGGAAGTCCAGAAGGTGGTAGCGCTCAGATCTGTATGGACCTAGATATCCATTTGGTGTTGGATATCCCGCATCAACCAAGTAATATTTTCCTAAAGATTCATAAAACAATTTCAGACGTTATGAAATGAATGAAAATATAAAATAATTAAAAACGTGCATGATTGGAACATATAAACATATACTTGGAGGTGGATGAGGGAAATTTAGAGATGAATTTGTAATAGCGCTGTCAAATATACGAGCATCATGTGCAGATCCCTCCCATCCTGCCAAGACAAAAGTGAAACACATATCCCAATCACATACAGCCATGACATTTTGTGATGGATTTCCCTTTCTGCCAATAAATCTATCTCGTTTTGCAGCGGGGACAACACACGGTATGTGAGTACCATCAATTGCTCTGATTGTGTCCTTAAAAAATGGATAATAACGTGGATTATTCTCAATTTTTCTATGAGTTCCATGAAATGTAGGATCTACAGGTCGAATAAGTTCACTTGATAGGCTAAGGCAAGCTTGTAGTACATTGTAAAAGTGCCTACTTACAGTTTTCCCTGAACGTTGAAATCGTTCCTGGATCATCCTATTACATTGTCCATGTGCAATCGTATTTAAAAACATCGCGACCACTTCTTCAATTCCTATGTACCTAGACTTTCTCAAACCATGTTCCTCCAATTTAGTACATAAGAGGTGAAAAACATGTTTATCCACTCTAAACATTTCAGGACATCGATCATCATGCCCATTCATAATGTCTTGTACCCATAAATTTCCTGTTTGCTCATTAGTTCTACAGGGTTGTTTAAACATATACATTTCACAGTAATGACCAACCAATGCACCTACTGCTTCATATTGTGTTAATTCCTCATTAATCATGGATAACCGTCTTGAATGGTCATCTTCATTCCACTGTGAATCATCATTCTAATCCCTCAAAGTATCTTCATTCCACAGTGAATCATCATTCCAATCCCTCAAAATATCTTCATTCCACTGTGAATCATCATTCCAATTAGCCATTTCTGGAGTTAACCCTGTAACTATAATAACAACAAAGTGTAAGCATTATAAGGACTACACTAAACCCATGTAAATAATTTTCACACTGCAAACAGAAAAACCAAACACATAGATGACAATTAGAAATTAGCATAAATATATTACATAGTCATTACTAAAGTTCCTACAACAAGTCACATCAGTTCAGGTTCAAACAGCAAACATTTCAAGTTAACAAGTGCAACAACTAAATCCTAAACTAAATCCTATTCTAGAGGTGCCTACTTCTATGTGTCCGGATCTTGTGCTGCCGATATTAACCAGGCCAACAACTTCCTTCTATCATGCATAAACCCCAAATAGGCTCGCCTAGCCCACCTCAACCGCGTAAGCATCTTGGCACATGCATAATATAGTTGATTGTCATCATTAAGCTCCTCAACGGTAGTCAAGTGTGCTAAAACCTTGTCAACTACTTGGGGATCTTCAACCAGTATTGCTGCTCGCTTGTCAGAAGCAGCTGCTATAACACTAAGACTATTAGAAATTTTAGTAGACGCTGAAACTTTTTTCTTCTTCTTTACATCAAACGTCTCACCCCTCTTCCTCTTTCCATAGCTTCTTGAGCCACTTGGTCCAATACTCGCAGGGGTGTTTAAGTTGCAACCGGCAAAGTCATCGGTGAATCCTGCACTGGTTGTTGGGTCAACTCCAAAATTTTCATCTTCACTGTCCCCTGACCCTTCCTGTTGGTCCAGGCCAACTCTATAAACATCCTCCTCCTCTTCTGTACCAGCCTGTGTCACAGGTGTCAACTGGGGCTGTAAGGCTGATGGTGCATACATATACTCTCCCGAAGCCACAACATCTTTGAATATTTTCTGCAACTCTGATGCAAACATCAACCCCTGATATCTAAATTTCTTGAAATTAGGGTCAACCTACATCATTAACATAATTAGGAAAAATCAAACAAAGTCGTAACGGATATTCAAAATTAAAACTCAACCAACGAAATAATTACCAGTAATTTTCATTGCCACCACTCATCGGAGGCCAAAATCCTATTTGTGGCCATATCATAACCAATCCCAGTCTCTCTAGACATCAGTTTATCCCACAATTTTCAATCTTTTCGCAATATATCAAATCTATTCTTCAATTGCCTTCTGTCATACATTCTCCTGCTCCTTTCTTGAAAGTTCTTTTCAATTTTTCCCCAACCAGGCCTTGTAAATGATGTTCCTTGTGCACTATTTGCTCGGCACAAACATCGATTAGAATCTTTGTCGTGTAAGGATCCCATGTCGCTTTTACCTTATCATTGTCCATTTCTTTATCCTTTTGATGGAAACAAAACTAACTGAATCAACCAAAACCCTAAATATGTAATAATGAAAGCCACATTATGCAATCACCAAACAAACATATATACTATTTTCTTAATATTATTGTAAATGCATTTGTTATCAAAACTCCAATTATTATTATGAAGTCGTCAAATATTAATTAACACATCATAATTGCAAAAACTGTTTTGCTTTCTTATTCAAAAACTCAGTTAATCAATTGTTTTTCTTATTGTTTGAAAAAAAATTGTTCATCTTTCAATTAGAACTGTCATATTTTAACAGAAACTTAATTAATAATGACTTATTTAATAGAAATTTAATTAGGAAAGACAATTCAGTAGTTAATTACGTTATTAAAAACCAGCATTATAAGGACTAAAAAATTGTTATCAAATTACTTTCTTCAATCTATTTCACATAAAACCACTGAATGATCAGTGTAACACTCTCATATACACTTCAATCTATTTCACATAAAAAATTGTTTTTTTTTGTACATTTTTCTTTCAAAATTCCAGGACCATTGCCACCGAATGATCAGTGTAACACTCTGATATATACATATACACAAGCTCATATGCACTTATACAATATCCAGAATGATCATCACGTTTTCACCACAAAAAAAAAAAGAATGATCATCACGTATACAAGCTCTACGTTCTGCTCCCCGTTAATTCACCTAAAACCACCAGCAAGCATAGCCACGCAACGTCGGAAAACCAGAAGGCAAACAATAAAACCACCGGCCCGCAGGAACAGAGGACCACAAAAACCACCGGCGAACAGAGGCTGGCCGACCATGAAAATAAAAACAACTACCGGCCAGAAACAGAGCACCGCAACAAACCAGACGGAAAAAATAATAAACCGAACAACGGCGACGGAGAACTCGACTTCCACCGGTGACAGCAAATCCAAGCAAGAATCAAACCAGAAAAGAAAGAAAAAATTTTACTCACCGAATGTTACAGATCAACCAAATCGAAGGCAACCAGAGATAGATCCCACCGTGTATCAGACTCGCAAGACAAGATCCACGCACAGCTTGAAACCACAGGCAGACAGCGGCGACCTCGGTTGCAGACGGCGGGACCAGCTCGGACTTGCAAGGAAGAAGCACCTCCAGCTGACCACGGACACCTCATACCCACGACTCGAAGCACACGACGATGACAACGCCACAGCTCACGGCGACCAGAGAGGGACCTTCAGCGGGGCGACCTTCAGCTCACGGCGTGCGACTCCTCGGTGAAAAAGACACGAGTTGTGAGACGGAAATGAAAATGGGAGAGGAAAAAAGGAACTGAGCATCTGACATGTAGGAACGAGCAAGAGAGAATCTCTTTTTTTTTTTTTTCCGCGAGAAGCTCTTCTGGGCTAAGCATAAGCTTCTTCCTTTAGCTTATGATTCTTGAGCGTTCCATCAGCCTTTTTTTCCATAAGCCCAATTGATTTTAAGTGAAACCAAACAGGTTCCTGTTGCAACCTAGCTTATTTTAAAATTTAAGCTCACTTTAAGCTCATAAAAAGTGAATCCAAACAGGCACAATGTGTATATTACTGCCTCCGCTCCCAATTACGGCCTCCGCTAGTTGTGCTATTTTGGTACGGCATTTTTGGCCCCTTGTTTGGAAATTTTTAAAGAGGGACCTCTCCTCTTGTTTGGCTGGATATTTTTTTAAAAGGAAGAGATTTTTATCTTTTATTAAAAAAAATAAGAGATAAAATTTTACATTACAAAATTAATCTAAATGAGATCATATCATTTCTTTTCTATTTTTAATTTTTATCGTCCTAATATAATATAATTGGGTGCTCACTTTGTGAGTCAATTTTTCTTGAATAACTAGCGGCTGTCAACTTGAGCTCAATCCAACTCGTTGTGTTTTAAAGCTGTGTGTATTATTGGATTTTTTTTTTTTCGCTTTCCATCTTATTCAGCTTCTTTATTCATGATGGGAATTGTTTTTCTTAATTTGTTTCATCTAATTGAACATTTTCCCATACGTGAAACGCTACATATACGGATGAATGGATTCATATAGTAATATCGTTTGTCTTTTTTGACTTTTGTCTTCTGGTTTTGGATCTTCAAAATCATTCCCGCAAGAGGTTTGGACCTATTTTTTTCTAATCCTTAGATAAAAAAATTCATTCTCTTCATAAAAAACAGGAGGTAGAACCAATAAAGATTTCTTTTCTGATTCATCCCTGGAGTTGAATACCTTTTGTGATGATAACCCTACTGCACTATTTTCTACTTATCTTAAAGCCAAGAAATAGTTTTGCTTTCTCTCTCCTTGCTTTGCAATGCTCCTTTAGCATGATTAATAAGGCGTGGCAACCGACTAAGATTGAAGGCTAAATATGATTAATCGGTGATATTAATGATGATATTGATAATTAAAACAAGAAAACATCTAAAAAGTGTTTTGGTTTTTAAATTTTCAAAAACATATCATTTTTTAAAACAACTAACTAAAAACAAATTATCAAATAAATTTGTTTATATTTTTATTTTTAAAAATAAAAAATTATTTCCAAAACAAAAAACACTAAACAAGCGCTTAGTCTTTGAAGCAGTGACGTGGTCATGACCAAGGATTGAAAAACATTGATTAAGAACAATAAATTTCACTTTAACAATACCATAAATATTTAATAAAAAATTAGTCACTACTGTTTATGATTCTTCTATTTGATCTTTTATATATTTCCATCATTATCATCTGATCTTTCAATTAAAATACTTGTTCTGACTCTGGTTAATTAAAAATGGTATTGGTTTCAAAATGTTGTTGTGTACAAAGGACAAAGGGACTATGGCAAATATGATGATTTTAATCAGACTTTTTTAATATGTATTTTCAGAATCATCCTGCATACCATTATGCTAGATTAGAGACCCAAAACAATAATGCTCTTTGCTATTATCCTTTTTATTTTCACATTAGTAAATTAATCTTATATTCCCGGCTTTAATAATTTGTAATTTTAATTCTTATGCAACTTTAATAATTTTTATTAAATTTGATGAATTGCATTATACATATTTATATCTTGATAGAATAGAAAATATAAAAAAAAAATTTTACAAGGTTAAAATAGTTAATTTTTTATTAGCTCCCCTCCCCTCCTCTTCTAAACCCAACAAGGTATCATTAAAATCTCTCCTTCTCTCTCTTTTTTATTAAAATCCCTCTCCTCCCTTTCCTTTCCATACCCTCCCTCTCTAGCTGCCTTTTTTAAGAACGGCTGATCACCCAAGAGGGGGAAAATTGAGTGTTAATTAAAATCAAAAACCTTTTCGCAATATAATGAAATTCATAAGAAATTTTGAGTATAAAAACAATGAATCAACATAAGCATAATCACAGTAGTAAAATAGTTTAGCTAGAAATATAAAGAGATAAGGGAAGAGAAGATGCAAACTGTGATTATCCTGGTTCGGTCCTCACTGACCTACGTCCAGTTCCCAGGCTCATCCTGAAATTTTCAACCCACCATCTCCCTCAAGTTCAACACGGGTACTTGAGAACCACTACAACCACAAGTTTGATCCAAGCACTTGTGACGTCACTTACAATCCTTAGACTAATCAGTCTATTCAACAACAACCTCACGCTAAGGTAATACTCCTTTTTACACATCGTAAGATATAATCTGATAATGATACGAAGATTGAATATTTTTTTCTCTCAAAAAAGTGATAGATGAATCCTAGGCACGTCTAGGAAACTCTCCTCTCTATCTTACGAATACATATGTCATAGTCTTTGAAGTACAAAGAAAGAGAGTTTTCTCTTGGAGCTCTAAATGAAAATATGTTGATTCAATATTTTAGCATTTAATGCTGTAAGCTCAGACTATCTTTTTTTTCTCGTTTTGAATGCTTTTCTATTTATAGATGATGTTGGGCATTTGACCATAGAGCATCTTCTTCTCGTTTGGCTCGAAGAATATGATCGTTGAAACTAGCCATTGGAAGCTTCTGACAAAAGTTGATTCTTCACATCATAAATTCATTGTAGCTCTTTATCTGAAATAATCTTCCTCAAATCAAGTGATAAAGATCTAATAATCTTAAAAACAATAAGGTGAAAAACATGGCATCAATCATCAGATATTCAGATACTTAAAAAGTAAAATGAACTTACATGATCAATGTCTTGATCGATAAAGCTTTAATCGATCAAGTTATTGATTAATTAGAAGGAAAAAGTTTGAATCAGACATGTATATTTATTGATTAAGTTATGGATCAACAGCTCATCAAACATGTGATCGATAAATAGTGAGATATCAATATAGAAGATTATATAAGAGTAAGACTTTGATGTCATTTATGTCTTTGAATCCTTTTAAAAGAGAATTAAGACTTACAAGAAGGCTGAGAAAAGCTTGAAGATAAATATTCAAAAGAATCTGAAGATCACCATGAGTGGTTGTTACGAAATGAACTGGTTCAGTGATCGATCATGTTATCGATAAAGCTAAATATGAGGGAAATAGATTTTGAACATCATTGATCAAACACTTTATCGATAAATGAATAATAGATAAATTGATCGATAAAAGGTTTTAAAACAGATTTTCTCAGATAAGTTACAGAATATTTGATAATCGAGTAAATGATCGATTAAAGCTTAATCGATTAAGTGATTGATAAAATATCATAGAAAAACTTAGTTTAAACAGGTTAGGAAAAAGGCTTGATCAATCACGTTATGTGAAAACAGAAGTTTCAGAAGTTTGGATGATCGATTATTTGATCGATAACTCAATGGTCAATCAGGTGATCCAAAAATGACTTAGAACATTTTAGTGCAGTGATACGATGATGATCAATCATTTGATCAATAAACCAATGATCAATCAATTTGATCGATTAAGGATCCTGACAACATATCTAATAGAGTAAAAATATTGATAAACCAGTAAGTTAATAAGCAATGTCAGAACAAGTTATCGATTAAT